TCCACACAGAGATCTGATCTGATCATCATCAGTCTGTCTGGAATGACATGAAGAAACAGAATAAACTGAGACAGACTCAATCCAGAAGAACTGTGGGAACGTCTTCAAGATGCTTCAAGAAATCTCCCTGCAAAGCTCCCTGAAAAACTATGCAACTATGAAGTAAGTGCACCGAGGGCAAAAGCTGCTTTAAACACAAAGGATGCTCACAACAAATGTTGATTTTATTGAGTTAAAAGTTAATTGATAAATGAAATCTATTTATGACATTATTTTTTACAGCATCCTCATTTTACAGCATTTTTACACAAGAGCCTAAAACTTTTAACAGTACTGTAGCTTTGCAGGTAGGTTTCTTGAAGCATCTTGGAGACGTTGCCACAGTCCTCCATATAACGGCCCCCAACCCTTTAAAGAACTCGACATCGTGACCGTCTCAGAATGTTCTGGGGACGTAACTAGGCAACGTCCTTGACACCAGCGGGGATGTTCTGAGAACGTTTTGGGAACGTCAGATTTCCAAGTAAAATATGGTCCCCTAAACGTCCCGAGAACGTCCTGAATGTTCTGTGAAGGTCGTCCAAATAACGTCCCCCAACCCTTTAAAGAACTCGACATCGTGACCGTCTCGGAATGTTCTGGGGACGTAACTAGGCAACGTCCTTGACACCAGCGGCAATGTTCTGAGAACGTTTTGGGAATGTCAGATTTCCAAGTAAAATATGGTCCCCTAAACGTCCCGAGAACGTCCTTAATGTTCTGTGAAGGTCCTCCAAATAACGTCCCCCAACCCTTTAAAGAACTCGACATCGTGACCGTCTCGGAATGTTCTGGGGACGTAACTAGGCAACGTCCTTGACACCAGCGGCAATGTTCTGAGAACGTTTTGGGAATGTAAAATTTCTACCAGGGTATGGGCCACTAAATAGGACCACTAAAGTAAGTATATACTAGTTTGTGACAGACGTTGCAGCATGCAGGAGGCAGGATAAAAAGATGTAAGGAAATTCAAGGTCACAGCTGATTAATGTGTGTGTGTGTGTGTGTGTGTGTGTGTGTGCATTGCTCAGCCTGTGGCGTATAATCTCACTGTAGAGATATATACGTAACACAATATTGAAGAAGCTTATGTCCTTCCCCCACAGAGACACTAATGTATTAATAATGAAAGAATTACAATATGTAACAATAACGGTTATAACATCAGATGAAATATGAGTGCAAATGTTGGGTGCTCAGAGGGTGTTATGAATCGTGATATGTTTTAACCTTTTTTTTTTTTAAACGTTTAAATTATCAAACTGGTTTCTGTCATTTTATCAAACTGCTGATGCATATGCTTCTTCTGTTGTTTTTGCACAAAATGATGTCACTTCCTGGAGGATGATGATGAATTATTGGCTTTTGTTTGTTCAAGGCAGGGTTATTTTAGTATTATTGATGTAATGTTTTTTTGTAAATATGTTACATTTTATTTTATTTGTCCATTTTCTATTTTCCCTTTAATTTTAGTTAAATTGTAGTTTTTATAGCTAAAGTTACGTTTTAGTAATTTTGTTGTGTTTTTGTATTTAAATTTTTTTTAATTACTTTTAGTTTGGTTTATTTTGTTTATTTTAGTACTTCAAATTAAACTAAACAGAAATGAGAAATGTAGAAACAAATAGCATTTTTTAATGGTTTAGTTAACTGTAATAACCCTGATTCAAGGGATTTTTCATAAGACTAATAGGTTGAAAATTGTCACATTTGAAAATTAGAATGCTTTGCATGATTAAAAATGGTTTGTTTAATATTTTATCCAATACTTTGATGCATTCGATGGATTGAAAGTGTGCATAGGAATGAACCCAGTGCTCAGATAGCGAAGATGTCTGAATAGCATAAAAAGAGAAAGAACATTCTCAGAATATGTTCCTTTCATCTGTAAGTGTGTAAGTTTGATTATGCAGTGCTGATTCCAGCCGGATAAGGAGGAGACAGCCCCCTACTGTCCCTGAGATTCAGCAGATCCAATTATACTGGTTCAGAGTTTCAAAAGCCCAATGCTTCATGCATGGAGCTTCTGGCTCTTTGATGGGCTTCCCCTTGAAATGAGGTAACATGCATTGAGTCTGGCCTCTGTTAACACTGTTTAGTCGGCTGGAAAATTAAGAATATCGGTCAAGAGACCAGAGGGTTGTTGGAGTTGAGCTTCTGAAGGCCAGTTTAAACTTTCATACATTCAGTCCAAATGAAAGCACCACTTCTGTGTGTCCTCAAGACCATGTTAAATCTCTGTGATTTCATTAATGTCATGTAATATTTCAAGCGGAAGTATGCAGTTTTATCATTTAACCCTGCAAAGTGTAACACTGTGCGACCAGCACAACACAGCAACAATGCCTATATAAATAAGTAATAATAAAAAAGTAGTAAAATTCAATAAATAAAAAAATAAAACAAGACATATTTTCTGATAGGTACAATGAATAAAGTATTAAAAAATATTGAAGGCAATTAATAAAAAGCGGCACACCATAGTTATGATAGCAAAATAAATCAACTTTTAAGGGGGAGAAATGCTCCCTCATATCTTTGAATTTCAATGGTTGATTTTAAGGTCATTTTTGTTTTATTTTAGGTACTGTATTAGGACTTTGGGTATTAGAAAAGGGCATTATAAATAAAATATTATTATTATTATTTAATTTTATATGACAACCAGGATTTGTATTGTGTCTGTTTGCATTTAATGTCTAATTTGTGTCCTGAAACAAAACCACTGTCACGGGCTCTTAGCATTTCTTGAATTATTCATATTTTCTCTTTCCTCTCATCTGCAGACTGCAGTGAAGGTCTAAAACGTGTAACAAGGTCTAAAACCTGAGCACTGCAGTTTGAGGTCATTTCTCTGCATGCTTTTTTTGTGTGCTCTCTGGAGTCTCCCACGTTTGTGACAGTCGGCAAAATGCAAGATCTATAAGACCGAAACCACACCAGCCGAATGCTAACAAGAGTCTAGAGCAATGCTGAGTGTACAGTAATACAATATTGATTTGTCGGGAGCAATGATATTAACTTGACTAGGTGGCAAGAGTTGCGTCTGACACTGATGTTAGTGGTGCAAACATAAACGAATGGCCAGAGTTCCCTCAAGGTTCATGCAAGTGTCAACCAACAATCTCATGAAAACATTTCAGCCCAGGGCACCGGATTACCATATTAATGCTATTATCAGAAAATTGTTATGCATGATATGCATGGCATCTGATGTTTATGAATTCATGTTGTCTTAGAGACACCACCCTTACAATAATTTAGCAGCTACATTGTCTGTTTTATGGCCACGTGTCAATGGTTACTATGAATCAAACTGTGTTATGTGTTATGGAAGAGCAGTAAATCAAATAACACTGCAAAGCCATAGGCAAGGTCACTCTGGTTATATACATAATTTAGAATATGGATATATTATGCATTGTCATTTATGCTGTAGGCCTATGTTATGCAAATCTAAGAAGTAAATGCAATTTTAATTCTTCATTGTAATTCTCTTCTTTAATTAGATATTGGTTTTAATATTGTATCTACCAAAAGTTTCTATTTATCGAGTGTCTAAAGGACACCCAAAATAGTAATAGCTAATTAAGTTGAATTAAATGTAGCTAATTGTTGTGCTGTTGCTTAATAAGTTCATTAAAAGTTCATAAACTAAATGTCGTTTTTTATTGTTGTAGGTAAAAATGTTTATTTCTGCTATCAGAAATGTATCAAAACATAAACATAAAAGTAGGGTTATATACAGTATATCTATGTCTATATCTATTTATTTATTTCCACTATCACTTATTGGCTTATTTACTTATCGAACATAAAAGCATCGTTATCCGCCTTAAATAAATAAATAAATAGGCCTACCTCATTATATATATATA